AATATTGATTTGTGTATCAGTGTCAAAAATTATGTGTTATATAAGAGCATTGTAACTAGACAGGGGAGACTCAACTCTAAAGTGATATTTGATGTTATATAGTGAACAGAAAATGCTTACAGATAATGACATAGCCATGGCCAACTGTAGTTCTTCCTCCTCCAACTCCAAGAGTGTTTTCCTCTCTTCAGCCTCCTCCTTCTCAAGGCGGAGCTTTTTCCCATCAAGACCTTCAAGTTCCTCATGGCAGTAAGCTTCCTCCTTCCCGGACGCCCCTCTGCCTCCTCCTGCCAGCCGCCCTCCGCTCCGGGACGTCGCCGGCCCCAGCGGGCTCTCGCGCGAGTAAGGCGGCGACCTGACGCCTGTACTCCTTGTTCTCGGCCTCCTGTGCGGACATGTGGAGGGCGAGGGAGAGCAGGTCGTCGTCGTCCATGCGGAGACCTTCTTGAGGTCGTCTTCGTCGTCTTCGTCGTCCGTCCCTGATCTCCTGGGAAGGACCTCTTTTCCATTAGCCAGGTTAATTTCACATGCACTTACCAACCACGCAATACGCACACACACGCACACACACACACAACACACACACATAAAAACAACAACAAAAACACACATGCACAAATCATACATTAAAAAAGAGGAAGAAATCACGTACCGCTTCGAGCAGGTCGAGCAGCGCGAAGTTGGCTTCAGCGTCCAGAACTGGTCGCGGTCCTGCGGCAAGAAGGGCACCGGAACACACTCTTGCGGTTCTCCGTCCCTTGAAGGAAAGATTTTTTTATTGACTCCAGCAATTTATCTTTTCCTTCATGGGTTCATTTATTCATTGATTAAAAAAAAATCTATCTATTCATTCTATTTATTCATCTATATCTATTTATTTACTATTTACTTTTCTTAGATATCTTAATTTATTCTATCTACGTATTTATCTATTTATCTATTTACTCATCAATCCATTTAATCATTCATTTAATCATTATTCACACACATACATAATGTATATAGTATACCTGTTACTTACTCGTTGTATATTTCTCTGAAATTAACATAATTATTGCAAAAATAAGCGGGGAAAAAAACGAGGCACCAAGACATTGAAACAAAGCCATAACACTCACCCCCAAAAAAAAAGGAACACACCAATACAGAGACCACACTTCAAGACAAACAAATTTCACAGAAAGACAAACAGAAACCTTACTAAGGCATTCTCGCAGAAGGTGTGGCCGCAGCTGGAGAAGATAAGCGGACGACGATCGTGCGCGTTGTAGGTCGACCTGCAGACTGCACAGGTTATCCCTGAGGGAGCCTGCAAAACACGGTGTCCTGTATATTAGTCCACAGTTTCTGCCTGGCCCCATTTCGCTCTATTGACTTTCTCTTTCTATGCTTCACATACTTCATGTAAATAATATATACATATACATATACATGTAATATATGTGTATACACCTGTCT